ACGACGACGACGACGACGACGACGGACGGATGGACGGACGGGCGGACGGACGGCGACGACAACGACAACGACGACGGACGGTCCGACGACGACGACGACGACGGACGGACGGACGGACGGACGGACGGACGGGCGGACGGACGGACGGGCGGACGGCCGACGACGACGACGACGACGACGACGAGGGCGACGACGACGACGACGACAACGACGAGGACGGACGGACGGACGGACGGACGGATCAACGGCGGGATGGCAGACGAACGGCGGGCGGGCGGGATGACGGACGGACGGACGACGACCACGACGACGACGACGACGACGACGGCGACGGACGGGCCAACGACGACGACGACGACGGACGGACGGACAGACGGACGGGCGGACGGCCGACGACGACGACGAAGAAGACGGCGACGACGACGACGACGACGATGGACGGACGGACGGACGGACGGACGGGCGGGACGGACGGACGGACGGACGACGACGACGACGACGACAACGACGACGGACGAGCCGACGACGACGGCGATGACGACGACGACGTACGACGACGACGACGGACGGACGGGCGGGCGGGCGGACGGACGGACGGACGGACGGGCGGACGGACGGGCGGACGGACGGGCGGACGATGGGCGCGGGCGGACGGCTGACGACGACGACGACGACGACGGCGACGACGACGACGACGACGACGGACGGACGGACGGACGGACGGACGGACGGACGGACGTACGGACGGACGGACGGGCGACGACGACGAAGACAACGACGACGGACGGGCCGACGACGACGGCGACGACGACGACGACGGACGGACGGACGGACGGACGGACGGGCGGACGGCCGACGACGGCGACTACGACGACGACGGACGGACGGGCGGACGGACGGACGGACGGACGGACGGACGAACGGACAGACGGACGGACTGGCGGGCGGCCGGACGGACGGACGACGGCGACGATGAAAACAACAGACAGACAGGCAGCGGGACAGAATACAGACAGACAGACAGACAGACAGAATACAGACAGACAGACACACAGACACAGACAGACAGACAGAATACAGACAGACAGGCAGACAGACAGACAGAGAGACAGAATGCAGACGGACAGACAGACACACTGACAGACACACAGACAGACAGACAGACAGACAGACAGACAGACAGACAGACAGATAGAAAGACAGAAAGACAGACAGACAGACAGATAGACAGACAGACAGACAGACAGACAAACAACGACGGCCGACGAGGACGTCGACGACGACGACGACGACGACGACGACGGCAGACGGACGGACAGACGGACGGACGGACGGACGGCCGACGACGACGACGACGACGACGACGACGACGACGACGACGACGACGACGACGACGGACGGACGGACGGACGGACGGACGGACGGACGAACGACGACGACGATGACGACGAGGACGGCGGCGGACGACGGCGACGACGGACGACGACGGCAAAGACGACGACGGCGACGGAGACGGCGACGACGACGGCGACAGGCGACGGTTCTGCGACAACTACTACTGCACGTCACGAAGTCACGGATGCCAGCGGGTCGCTCCATTCTAGGAGAATGATCCGGATGCTCCTCAGAGCTGTCTCGGCGACAAGGGCGGGGGCCCCGAGTCGAACAAGCACGGAGACTAAAAACCTGCATCCCCCTCTCCACGAAGTACACTGGCGTGCTTGGATAAGAAAACCGTGACTTGATAAGCTTAGCGCTTGCTCGAATCTCGAATCTGCACGAACCTCCACCGCAGGCTCGGAAAAAGGTAGGGCACCAAGAACAAAGTCCTTCTCCAAGACCGTGGGGCTTGCGTCCTGTGACAGACGAGCACGGTTACGCCTCTCACAGGTAGCTGGCTGCACTGTCCCAGTTCTGCCTGAGGCGCTCCTGCATCCTGCTGTGCTTCTGTGTTGTTGGGTCCTCGGTTTGAACTCGCAGCGCCACGCGCACGTCTTGTCCTGCTCCTCCTAATCCTCTTCCTCCTCCTCCTCCTCCTCCTCCTCCTCCTCCCTCCTCCTCTCCTCCTCTTCCTCCTCTCCCTCCTCCTCCTCCCCTCCTCCCTCCTCCTCCTCCTCCTCCTCCTCCTCCTCCTCCTCCTCCTCCTCCTCCTCCTCCTCCTCCTCCTCCCCCTACCAATCCTCCTTCTCGTCCTCATCACCCTCGTCGTGCCCTCGCCCATGCTGGCACACACACACGCACACACACACACACACACACACACACCGCACGCTTCGGGCCCTTGAGGAAGTTCCGCCTACGGCTTCAGCGGGAGCGACCGCAGACCGCCCCTCCCGGCCCATTTTGGCGCACCCCTCGCGGGCTTCGTGTCCGACCCTATTGGGTGCGACCGCATGCTGGCTCCCTGCCGATTTCGGCACGTGCATCATTCGCGCCCATCAGAAAGCTCCACCTGCGGCTCCACCGCGTGCTGGCCACCCGCCCCTTTCGCCACACCCTCCACGAGCCTTGTGTCCCTCCTGGGGCTCCACCCCCTGCCTCAGTCGGTACGACCGCATGCTGGCCCCCTGCATGCCAATTTCGGTACACCCTTCACACGGACAGTGCCCCACAGGGAGCTCCACCTGACATACCGCGCCCCAGCCCATTTCGACTCACACTTTACACATTCTGTGCCCCACAGGGAGCTCCACCTACGGGTCATGAGGGAGCTCCTTTCATCTATACATGTTCCTATTCATAAATTCAAATCGGGCGGAAGAGCCCAGAAAAAGAAGCGCGCACACACGCGCACACACACACACACACCACACACACGCACACCCACACGCACACGCACACGCACACGCACACGCACACGCACACGCACACGCACACGCACACGCACACGCACACGCACACGCACACGCACACGCACACGCACACGCACACGCACACGCACACGCACACGCACACGCACACGCACACGCACAAGCACACGCACACGCACACGCACACGCACACGCACACGCACACGCACACGCACACGCACACGCACACGCACACGCACACGCACACGCACACGCACACGCACACGCACACGCACACGCACACGCACACGCACACGCACACGCACACGCACACGCACACGCACACACCGTAACGAATTTGGCCCACCCCGGGCCTCTCGGACAACACTCCAAACGACCCGGGAGAAACCCACGAGTGCCCGAAGGCGGGCCCAGAGCGCTTCAGCCGTTGTCGACCCCTAAGAGCCCCAAGACGGTCCACGACGACCCCAAAGAAGCCGTCATACCCCCAAAGACCGCTCCACAGCGTCCCAAGAGGCCTCCCAGAGTGCACCCAAAGGCCCCCAGAGGCAAAATTAATTGATTTTCTATTGGTTTTTGGTGAATTTGGGGGTTCTCCTCTTTTGGGTTTCCCGACGCTCCAAGACGGCGGTCGTCTGGGCGTCCGAAGCCGCCCGGAAGGCTCGAAAATCGCCCCGCAACCATCCGAAAGTGCTCCAAGACGGCACAACAGGGTTCCAAGATGGCCTAAGAGAGCTCCATGGCGGCCCAAGGAAGCCCCAAGACGACCTCCGAAGCATTCCAAATCGTGACCCGGTCGTTCAGGGAGAAGCCGCCCAGGAGGCCTCCATAAGGCCTCAAGAGAACTTGAAAAACTTTTGTGAGGCACCCAGAGGCTCTCCACGGAGGAGCCTCCACAGAAAGAGCTTAGGAGGATGGGGGAATACGCAAGGTATGGCAATAATCAAGAGAACGAAACATGGAGGATAACGAAAAACCGTATTACAACGGCGATGCCGGAAAAGGCAACAAAGAGTTATCGCCAAATTGTCGGCTTGACCTTCTGGCCACTCTGCCTGCATACCAAACTGCAAAGACCAAGGTGCATGGCGCGAGACGCCAATAAAGTCTCGTATGTATGTATAAATGTGTATACATATATAAATATATACATACATACATACATATACATACGCGCACAACCCTGATCTCTTTTTTAACTGCCAGAGCGATGGTTCTGGTGAGAGCGAGGGCAATTGCCATCAGACCTCGAGAGACTCCACTAGAATAAAGGCAGCGGGATATCTACACCTGGTGCTACTGGAACTCCCGTTCGAGTACTCCACCCACGAGGCCCAGCATTCAACAGATCACGAAGTCCAACTGAACAGTCACGCACATATTAAAAGAAGAGGAGGAGGAGAGGAGGAGGGGGACTTGAGCAAAAACGGCAATGGAACGGATCGCAAACGAATCCTTCCCATTCGCAGGCGGCTCGCGTTGAGGGCGTGCACAGATGTTTGGAAAACGCTCCAATGCACAACCCTGATCTCTTTTACTGCCAGAGCGATGGTTCTGTTGAGAGCGAGGGCAATTGCCATCAGACCTCGAGAGACTCCACTAGGGTAAAGGCAGCGGGATATCTACACCTTGTGCTACTGGAATTCCCGTTCGAGTGCTCCGTCCACGATGTCCAGCGTTTAATCGATCAGGGGTCCATAGACCATACTGGATGCCTGGCAGCCGTCACCCCAGTCGCCTTCAAGAAACACGGAAAGCTTAAATCTGATTACCGCGAGACGAGGCTTGCGAGGCGAACGGATAGGCGACGTTCAGCGGAACGGCGCAGCCAAAGACCGGCAGTGGCAGCAATGGGTGCAGGGCAAGGCTCGGCGATGGCAGTCCAACGCTTGCCTCCGGGCCCACCCCCTTCCAAGGAAATGTGCCGGAGGCCGGTCTTGTTGCAAATGCCGCCGCGGCCTCGGCACCTGCATAGCAGAGGCTGAGGCGGGGGGCATGCGCACCAGCCCCTGACACGAGTCCCGTGTTGGCAAAAATCTACACTGGCGCCCTTACAAGAGGTGCGGGAAAGAAGCTGCATACGAGGGTGGGACCACATCATTGACGACCGTGGATTCTCAAGCACAAAGGGGATTCCGAGGCGCTTGCAGTCGAAACCTATTCTCGTGGCAAAATGGAATGTAGCACTACCTATCCGAAGCCTAGCAGCAGCTTTGCCTGAAAGACCAGGCAGACCGTCCAGAGCGTGAGGCGAGCGATAAAAATGTCGCGAGACTTGAGACCAGGTGCTGCAGGGCGGGGCGCACATCACGCCTCGCACGATGCGAGCAGGGAGCCAGCCTCTCACGATGGCACCGCACGCGCGACGCGGGAGATCGAAGGCGGGGTGAGCGGCCACGTCGATCCGCAGGACGGCGTAGTCAGATTTCCGCTCCAACCAGCTCGCGATTTTGCCGGTGCCGCTAAGGAGATCCAGGTGCACCTGCTGCTTCCAGGAGCTGGCCAGGGCTGCCCGCAGCGCCGCGCGCCAGTGGCGCCACACCGCAGCGTCGGTCAGGGCCTCGGCCGCCCCGCCCGCGTCGCCGCCGCGCCAACACCGGCCGGCGCGGAGGCCCGCGCGAGAGCCTGCGGCAGCGGCGGCAGCGGCACCCGGGCCAGCAGCAGGTCGGCTAGGTTGGCGCCCACCTCCCGGCCGAACTGGGTCACCTCGGCGCTGAGCTTGCCCACCTCCGCGAAGTGCCTGACGTGCCGGGCGTGCCGCTTCGTCGAGTTGTCCGGCTGGTGCCGTAACATGGCCTGGATGTCCGCCAGCTTCTCGCCCAGCACAGCAGCCCGGGACGACGCCCCGCCGTGGCGCACCTGGTATGGGTGGCAGTCCAGGTGGCCCAGCTGGTCGAACACGCCCCTGAACTTGGCGTTGAAGGCCGTCGCGTTGAAGTCCCAGAGCGGCTGGCGGCCCCGTCGTGCACGCCGCAGCCTCGCCAGGTCGGGCCCGAGGGCATGGGACATTGCGTCCGACGAGACGACGCCCTCGTCGCACCCCAGGATCTTTCTTGCTCACCTGGTCGAACTCCTCTGGGAACAGCAGGAGGCTCCACGCGGCTCGGCCCGAGCGCGGCGCGGGCGCCACCAGGGTCGCGCACGCCATCTGCACGAGCTCGCTTGGCAAACGGACCATCGTGTCCCAGCTCAGGGCCCAGGCGATGGCGAAGCTCCGCCAGCCCCGGCGCAGGGCGACGCCCACGGCCGCGAACAGCAGCTCCCTCGCCATGGGTGCCCGCGTCGAGCCCTTCGCAAGCTTGCGGAAGTCCCGCAGCCCGGCGAAGGTCCGCTCCAGCGCCGCCGCCGCAGTCAGGCCCAGGCCCGGGTTGTAGTGCTTCAGCGCTGCGAAGGCCTTGTCGCCCTCGCGGTGGTTGTGCCCCCCCCAAGAAGAGGAAATCGAAGTGTTGGGCGAAGCTGGAGTCGATCGCCGACACCCCGAGCGTCGAGAGTCCCCAGGCGCGGGCCAACGTCACAAAGTCCAGGTACTCCTTCTCGAAGTAGGCCCGGGACGCGCTGCCGACCTTCAGGCTCTTTAGCACCGTGAGCCCTTCGGCACGGGCTCGCTCGCTCGCGCCGCGGTGGGCTGCCTGGCGAGCCCTCGCCAGGGCCAGGCGAAGCGCCTCTGCCCTCGGTGGCGGCGCCCTCGCTCTGGTCACTGTCGAGGACCTCGGAACTCGAAGTCGAGGAGCTGTCGGAGTCCACCCCGCTGGCGCCCGGCCCGCTGAGGAGGCCCGCGCGGCCGCCGAGCGGGCAGGGGTCATCAAGGAGCGAGTCCCCGAGGCCGGCCGCGCCAGGATGGCTATGGCACGTGGGCCCCGGCTCCGAGACCGATTCGCCGCGGCAGTGGCGCCTCCGAACGAGCGCGTCGACGTCCCGCTGCAGGGTCTGGGCCCGCTGGAGGCCTGGGTTGCACATCCGAGATACGCGGCGCGCCGCGGGTCAGCGCGGGCGCCCAGCGCGCGATGAAGCCTGAGCCTAGATGGCTTGTCGGCAGGGTTCCACTCCGAGGAGGTCCATCTGAGAATGAAGGTGGTGCTGGCGACGATCGATATGGCGCGCCGCTGCTGCATGACGTGATTGAGGGTGATAGATGGGGAACGCCCTTTTCCAACCGCGAGGGCGAGCCCGAGGTTGTCGACCAGTATGAGATGCCGATGGCCGCGCCCGCTGCGCCCTCGCACCGCGTGGCGCGCGGCCATTACCGCTGCCCGGCCCTCCAGGACTGCGACGTCCTCGACACGCTGAAACACACCGTGGAAGAGGACCCCCCAATCGTTGAGCTCTCCGATCGCGGCCCTCCCGACGCCCTCGAAGCCGGCGGGGCCGGCGCGCGCGCGGTGCCGGCCAAGGTACCTTGCCATGGCCCCCTCGACCGGGCCGATGCCCAGCGCGCGCTCCCTGGCCCCGATGGCGCCCAGCACCGAGCGCCGCCACGCCTCGGCCGACGCCGCGGTGCGCTCCACAAGCTCGTTGGCCCATGTCTGGCCCACCACGCCGTAGCCCCCTGCGGAGCCGGATTGCCCCCTGGAGGCGCCCGAAGCGCAGGCGAAGGCGTTGTTGGGCTTCTTCGAGTCGGAGAAGGCGAAGACCAGCAGCGCGGCCGCCCGCTGCAGCTCGAGCTCCACGCGGCCCCACAGCCGCAGCCGGCGGCGCCCGGCGACCCAGGCGAAACGCAAGTCTGTTGAAAGATGCTGAGAAGCGGCCGCCTCAGCAGGGCGGCCCAAGTGAAGTGCCCCAGCAGGCTCAGGATCTCGCCCCCCGTGGCCGAGCGTCGGTCCGCCACGAACAAGCGAGGCGCACCTTCCACGTCCGAGCCCGGCTGATCCCGACGCGGCCGATGCGCCTCTCGAAAGCGATGCCGGTGAAGGTCTGCAGGTCCTCGGGCTCCATGACGCCCTTGAACTTCAGGCCGACCATCTCCAGCCTGTCTACGACCGCTCTGCCGTCGGCCACGTAGCGGTCGCCGTCGCCGCCGACGATGCAGACGTCGTCGACGTACACGCCCGGCTTGGTCGAGCTGGTGCGCACCTGGAGCGGAGCGTGCCGGTCCTTGATCAGCGGCCCGGTGTCGATCTCCGCCCGCAACGCGGTGGTCTCGAGCAGCCCCTGGCAGAAGTGGAGGCTCCATGACCACCCCATCGGCAGCGCCTGCAGGAGGGGCGAGCCGAAGCGAGCTTCGGGGAGGTCGATGCTGATCCCTGCCGCCTCAGCCAGCTGGCGGAGCGTGTCCAGATGCACGCTCGGCAGCGAGAAGCGATCGCCCACCTTATCTGGGAGCTTCACTCTATAGAAGGCATTGTCAACGTCGGCCTGGGCCATGTTCAGCGAAGCTGCGGGCTCCTTGCGCAGGGCGGCCCAGGCGGCTGCAGTAGGCAGCTGAGAGTGATCAGGATCATGAAATCGTGCATTGACTCGACGCGCGTCGAAGATGAGCCGGAGGCGCTGCCGCCCGTTCTTCCAGAACGCGCCCACCGTGGCACTGCCCTTGGCCCCGACTCTGATGAGGCCGGAGGTGCACAGGTCCAGGACGAACTGCGCATAGCACCGCCTGTCCGCCATGAGCTTGCGATCGTTGCGCAACTTGACGTCGTTAACTGATGCCGGCGTTCGGCGCAAAGTCTCTCCCAATGTCCCACTGATCGTGCTCGAGGCCGGTCAGGGCGTCGCTGGGATCGCAGCGGGCGCCTGGCCCCGGCAGGGAGAGGATCTAGCTCCCTCTGGTGCTGGGCTGGTTGCTCGGGCTCGCCGGCGCAGCCCGGCTGGTTCCCGCGCAGCTCCGCGCGGGCTGCCGCGGGCGAACAAGGCGGGGGGCCCGCTTGCTCGATGATGGAGTGCACGAATTCCAGGCTGCGCTGCTGCCCGGCTGAAAAGGAAAAATGTTCTCGGGTGCCGCCGTGACCGCGCAGGGCGTTCAAGCTCTCGGCCGCGTCGGCAATCCAGTTCGCGACGTGCAGGCGTCGGCGCGCCCTCGAGCGCACCGCTTTCGACAGCCCAGCGGGGCCGTCGGCATCTCGCGCCGCCGCGACGCCGCCGCGAAGCCGCTCAGGGGCAGCAGCTCGCGGGGCGCGAGCCAAGGTGGCCGCGTCATTGGCCCCGGCCAGCCCCGCGGCCGGCCGCCTGGCCCTATCCTGCGCCCTTCTCCTGAAGCTTCTTCAGCTCGGCGGCCTGCTGCTGGAACTTCTTCTGCAGCTCGGCCTTCGAGCCGCCCGCGCCCGAGCTGCCTCCTCCGCCTCCGCCGCGCGACAGCATCCTCTCCTCCTTGGCCTTGCGGCGCTCCTGGAGGATCTGCGCCTCGCAGTGCATCTCCTGGTTGATGTGGTCGACCAGGGCCGGTGATGCCATCGCCAGCCCGCGCGTCTCCTCCGTGCCGAGAGGTAGCTCTCTTCCATCGTCGCCCTGGACGGCCGCGAGGCGATCGCGGTGGCGCCATTGGGCCATCTGGGCCTTTCTCATCAAGTGCTCGAACGAGACCAGCTCCCCGAGGCTCAGCTGGTCGAAGCCCAGGCCCAACTCCGCCATCCGCATCGCGAGGTCGTGATCTCCGACCCCCTCGTCGGTGGCCTCCAGCCGGCACTCATGCACCCACTCTGCGTGCCTCGCGCGAGGGCGCTGGTCCTGGCGTGCCAGAAACTCCAGACACCAAGACGCCGTCCTCGGGCCCATGATGGGCCACTCCGGCCACTCCGTGGTAGTGACCTGGCGGGCCGCGTCGGTGAAGTGGCGGTGCCAGGTGCCGTCGGGCCTGGTCTTGATCTCCAGCACCCGGGCGTCGGACTCGAACTCGATTCCCAGCGCGGCCGGACCCACAGCCTTCACCAGCAGGTTCTCGGTGCCCTTGGAGGCGATCCCGACCCTGTGCACGATCAGGTAGCCATCTAAGTCCTTGATCTGCACAGCTTGCCGAAGCTGCGATGCGTCGTCCGACGACACCGCATGCCAGCTCAGCCCGCCGGCGTCTGGCAACGTGCCGGCACCCACCGTCAGGCTTGGGTCGAGCTCCTCCGCCGCGCTAGTTACCACTGCTGCTGCTGGAGTCGACTTCAAAGACCCCTTCGTCCTCAGGCGCCTCTCTGGCCTCTCTTCGCCACGCAGAGCCAGACAGCCTGGCCTCACCGCTTCCAGCGCCTCGCACACTTCGAGGGCGGTCGGCTTCCACTCGGCGCCGTATGCCGCACTCGCTGCCCTCCACCGGCGCCCAAAGGCCGACCCCGCGATCTGCGACCCGTCGCTCTTGAGGGCCACGAAGCCGGCGAGCTGCGTCTCCGACCAGATGTGCGGGTACACGTCCAGGTCCGGCGTCAGGGCGTACCACACGCGGCGGTCCTGGATCTCCGCCTTGCTCGGGGTCAACTCCAGCTCGGCCTCGCACTCGCTGCTCGAGCACTCGCACAGCAGGATCCGATCCTGCCACGTACCGCCCCTCTCCCACACGATACGCACGCGCCGCCCAGGTCGAAGAAACGACATGACCGGAGAGGCGGCAGCACCAAGAGAGGCAGCACCCGATCAAGAAGCCAATGCAGACGCACAGGATGACCAGCCAGCGGATGCCCCCGAAAGAGCCGATGACGAGCGCGCAATCGGAGGCCTGCTCCGCCAGCGGCCCCAAGCTGGGCCCGACCGTGTCGAGGAGGGCAAGCCCGACCCTCGCAGCTCTGCTCCAGAGGCCAAGGATTCCCATGCAGACTGGGGTGACGGTGGCCGCCCGAAAAACTTGATCAAAAACGGCAGAATGGAACGGATCGCAGACGAATCTTTCCCATTCGCAGGCGGCTTGCGTTTAGGGCATGCACAGCTATTTGGAAAACGCTTCAATATAGCACGAGTGGGTGCGTCCGCACGCCGCCCCCCCGCCAATTTCGGCACTCCTCTCGTACGATTCGCTCCTCACTAGGAGCTCCCCCAGAGAAGGGGTTCGCACGCCGCCTCCCCGCCCACTTCGGCTCACCGCTCATACGGATCGCCCACAGGGAGCTTCACTTACGGCCCCACCGGGCAAGTTCGCACGGCATCCCCCCTCTCATACTGAAGCACCACTTGCTCCGGCCACCCGTACCCCACAGGGATGTTCACTTACGGCCTCGGTCGGCGCGTTCGCGTTTGGCCCGCCACGCCGCTCCCCCCACGCGGGTCGTGTCCAGCAGGGAGTTCGGCGCGCCTACGCGCGCTTGTTCCTCAGTCCCCTGTACGAATTGCACCGCGGCGTGCTGTATATGAAGGGAAAGGACCGCCATGCGCCACTCGCGGCTGCATAGGGGCACTTCGCCAAGCCAATGATGCTTATCGACATGGAGTTCACAGCGGTTCGATCTACAATATGCCCTCCCTAAGCCGTGCACTCACGTCGCCCCCCCCCAACCCCCGCAGGTCCTCGGCGCCCCCCCTGGCTGGACACCACCAGGCGCCCAGCGGTTCGTGCGAACCAAAGAATATCGTCCCAAGCGCAGCCCTTCCCACCAAGAGAGACCGAACCCACTCGGACAACAGAAAGCGCGGAGGCGTCGCTGGATAACGAGCTCTGAGATGGGCGCCCCGAGCTTGCGCATGTGCGCCCGACACAGCACAGACTGGCACAAGCGACGGAGAGATGTCGAACGCACATCCGACGGAGAGAGCCGCGCCAGCCAAGACGAAACGCGAAACACGTCACCCCTCCGCGCCCCTGCGGGTGTCCCAGCAACCCCAGCAAGAAGAATCCACAAGCACATAGGCCCCAAGAGACCCCAAGGCGCCTCTAGAGGCCTCCAAGAGGCCCCCCAAAAGGCCCCCAGAGAGGCCCAGAGAGGCCTCAACGAGGCCCCCAACGAGGCCCCCAGAAGGGCCCCAAGAGGTTCCAGGAGATGCTTCCCGAAAAGCTCCCAAACGGCCTCCAAGACTGGCACCCGACTGCCCTCCAAGAGTCCCCAGAGAGACTTCTCAACATACCTGCACGTCAACAATGATGCACCGTGAGCCGGCGGAGTGAGCGAAGCTATGAATCCGCCGATCCGGCGTGAGTTGTAAAAAACTACAGCATGAGCTTCAGCACTGCTAGAGGGGTTTGCCGGGATGGCTCCGCAGGGGAAAGGGGGAGGGGAGGAATGGGACGCACAGAGACATACTGGTACTATGTGTTCTCCTTGGAGGCGCGCGTCCGACCCCAACATGTAGTATAACCATCTTGCAGCATATCGTTTCCCAAGCGGTGTGGCCAGAAAACGCCCGCAATGGCGCATCCACTACAAGATCCCTCGGTGCGCACGTCTCCCCTGGGGCGGCGACGCACATATAGTAGAAGCATGCTGGGGCAACGCCGAAGGAAGGGGCGGGGAGGCAGGGAGGGATGGGGGGGCAAGGAGGGAGGAAGGGGTGGGGGAGGGAGGGAGGGGGGGGAGGGAGGGAGGGGGGGAAGGGAGGAAGGGGGGGGGGGTGGAACGCAGCGACCAACAAACGAGGGGCATCACCTGCATGAGCGTGTCCTCGACAGGCGCTGGACTCCGCTGGTGGCGCGCGGAGGCGCGTCGCCAAGGCGGGGGGCGGCGCGCCCCGACAAGAGGCACCTGCGCGGACCTCCCCCCCCAGAGAAGGAGGAGGAGGAGGAGGAGGAGGAGGAGGAGGAGGAGGAGGAGGAGGAGCGCGACCTCCGCCGGTCGGAATAAGTGAGTAGAAATTAGGTGGTCTTTTCTCCTCTCCTTATTGTCAGCATATAAATCCTCTAAGTGGAAGACCCTTCAGCAGTCAAAACACAAGCAAATACCGGTGCAAGTACCAGTCACATCCTCATCAACTTGATGCACAAGCGGCTCTGTGAGGGGATCTAGGCTAGGTATACAGATGGAGAGATATAGAGATATTGAAATGGAGGAAGATAACGACAACTAGGAATGGGAAGGAGGAAAAAACGAATGAGAGAGAAGGGGTTGAAATATAGAAAGAAAGACTGTCAATACATATAAAATAGAAAGAGAGAGAGAGAGGGAAAGCGAGATGGAGAGATAGAGAGACACGCACACAACAAAAAAGGAGGCAGAGAGTGAGAGAGAGGATAGAAACCTTGTAAAGAAGGGGGTCGAGGGAGAGCAAGCCAGAGAGGCAAGGGTAGGAGAGAGATGGGAGGGAGCGGAGTGGGAGAGAGGGAGCGAAGAGGGAGGGAAGGAGGAGAGAGAGAGAGAGGAGGCCGACAGGAGGCTGTTGCAAGAAGGGAGGGAGAAGTGATGGGCGAGGGGGAGAGGAGGGAGGGGAGCAACGAATAATGATGGAGCCAGTGGCGCAACGAATAATGGGAGCTGTAGAAACATGAAGCAGGAAGGCGCTGGAAGTAGAGTGGGCTTCCGCCCGCCCCCTGAGGAGGGAGAAAGGAAACTGCTGGATCCTGGCAGTAGGAGGGCGCCTCTTAAAGCAGACTGGGATCTGGGCATTCTAAAAAAAAAAAAACATGTTTTCGACGACAGACGGGCATGGTTACGTCGCAGTGTGCTCCTCGACCAGCGCCAGCGCCCCGCCCTCCACAACCAGCGGCACGCCCGCACGGTGGGGTGTGTCGTGAGGGGGAGGCGGCCCTCTGAGGAGAGGCGGGGAGCTTCTCGGACGGCTGGGGGCTTCTTAGAAGGGCCCTGCAACCTCTGAGAATGAAGGGGCCTAGGGACACCCAAACAAACAGACACAACTCCCAGGAGTCCCCATCTGTTTCCATAGGCTCTGGATCCTCGGCTTCCCCTCCACGTCCCAGGTCTTCCATCTTTTCCAGGGCATCGGCGATGAGTTGTGTCTGTGTGTTTCTTCCCTCCCGAGAGGAGGAGGCTTGCTAGAAGCAGGGAGGGCTTCTGAGACGCCCCCGGCCTTCCGAGAAGGCCCCCCGCCTTCCTATCGTGCCGCCCCCCTCAGCAAACCCTCTCGCGAGCGCCGCCAACGGTGGCTTGCCGCACCCCTCGACAACACGGGGCTCCTTCCCTGCCGCGCGACACCCAGGGAAAACGCAGAGGCTTCCGCTCGCCGTCGGTCCCGCTCGGTCGGGTCGTCCAAGACATAAAACCCAGACTTCCTCACGTCGTGAGGAAAACATCGGCGGGTGATGCTTCCCCTGAGCAAGTTAAGACAATCAAGCCGGACGATGGAAACACTATGATGCAAGTATGTTGTCAGTATCGAGCTGACGTTCCACCCCTCGCGGGACTCTTCTGAGCCAAACTGACTACACTGATCATGTGCATGCAAAGGCATTGAAACATTGCTCCATCATGTGCTCCATAAACGGCCTCCAGGTGCACTTTACCAGGCTCTGGCACCGCCAACCAAAGAAACGGGATGAAACGCCGGTCCCCGGGAACTGGTCTATAGACCTCCCGGGACCCACGCTGCGAACAGGAACCACGACGCCGGAGGAACAGGTCTAGGGGACGCAAAGGAGGGTTAGTGCCAGAGGAAAATCGCTCTGGAAGGCCCCGGCCCCCAGAGGAGGGCAATATCAGCATCAAGCTGGGTTCGCTCACAGCACCTTGACTCAAACCCCCCTTTTTCCCACGCTGAATTGAGAAAGGGGGGCCATTCCGCACGGCGCCAGCGCGATGAGCGCAGCTAGTTCCAGGATGACGACAACGACGACGACGACGACGACGACGACGACGACGACGACGACGACGACGACGACGACGACGAAAACGACGACGACGGCCATGACGACGGCCATGACGACGACGCCGCCGACGCCGACGCCGACGACGACGACGACGCCGCCGCCGACGACGACGACGCCAACGACGACGCCGACGACGACGACGACGACGACGACGAGGGCGAGGCTGGGGAAGAGGACGAGGGCGCGGGCGGGGGGGCGTCGAGGAGGGAGGACGGGTGCTCAGCCCCACCGCGCCCCTCGGGAGCCCATCGCTGCGCCGCTGAGCTTCGCCTCCCGCCCGCCGCGAGGCGGCCCACCGAGGCCCGCGGCGCACGGCTCGGCGAGTTGCCCTCGAAGAACCGCGCGCCTCACTCGCCCTGCCGCCGCCGCTGCGGGCCGCCTCCTCCGGCCAGGCCGCGCCGGCGGCACCGGGCCTCCGCCGCGGAGGCCCCCCGCACACCGGCGCCGTGGCCGCCACCATGCAGGCTCGCTGCAGCCCCCGCCGGAGGGCACCAGCCTGAGGGGCAAACGAACCTACGCCTCGCCCCTGAACCACCTTCGCTTCCAAGCGGGAGCCGAGCGATGCCAGACTGCCCGTGGGGTGGCCCGCAGCGGTCAGGCTGCCTGGCGAGCAGGCGCGTGGCATGATTTGCTCTTGCCCGGAGGCAAAGGCGGGGTGGGCACTTCACCCTGTGATGGCCGCCGAGCCTGCTGCCTTCCTCTGGCGCCGCTAGGGCGAGCCCGGCCTCGGCGACAGCGCCGCGCGGCCACGGCGGCACAGCTGGGCAGGCGCGCTAGAGGGCCCCGGCGAGGGGTCCCCTGCGGGCGAGGCGGGCGCCGCGGCAGGCAGAGAGCGCGCCCGATGCCAGCGGCGGGTGCTCATGCTGTCAGGACGCGTACTCGGTGGACCCGGCTGCGTCAGGTGAGGCTGGCGGCTCCGGGCCTGCGGGCTTCTCGCGCTCGGCGGCGGCGGCCGCACCGTCGCTGTCGGCCAGCGGCTGCACGAGGCCTGCCGCGTGCAGCCTCGGGTCCAAGGGGGGCTCCCGCTCGGCGGCAGCGGCCAGCGCGCAGTCACTGCCGGCCGGCGGTTTGAGCAGAAGCTCAAGCATGCGCTGCGCTGCGGACTGCGCCGCCGCCGCCTTCTTCTGGCACGGGGCCCCCGTGCAGGGCGGCGGCTGCTCGAGGCCTGCCAGGCCCAGCCCAGGCAGCGTGACGGTGCACTGGAATGAGCCGTTGAAGCTGGACGCGTATGCGATGTCGTCTTTTCTGACCGACCGGCCCAGGCGCAGCTGCACATTGGTGGCCAGCAGGCCCTTGTAGTCCATGGGGCGAGGCGTTGCGGGGGGACGAGCCGCGCCACCTTGAGCGCATGATATATTCGCGGCCATAACGGGCGTTCTGGGGGCAAGGCTGTCGGCGGGGGTGGCGTAACGTCCACCCCCCGCCGCCCTGGTTCCGACACCACAGCGCCTGCACGCTTCACGGCAAGCGCCAGAGTGCGCAGCACAGAATGCACCGCCGCAGCCGCGTGCACCACATCGCCAAAGTACTGCGCAGCGCATATGTGCAGCACCACAGTGATTGTTTTCCCCCACACCCTCTGTCGTGCATTATTATGTGCTGGTGTTTGCCGAACGACGAAGGCGCCCGAGAGACGGACGACGACGACGACGACGCCGACGACGACAATGACGAGGACGACGACGGAGACGGGGACGACGACGAAGACGACGAAGACGACGACGATGACGACGAAGAGGACGAAGAGGACGAAGAGGACGAGGACGAGGACGGGGACGAAAACGACAAAGACGACGATGACGACGACGACGCCGACGCCGACGCCGACGCCGACGCCGACGCCGACGCCGACGACGAAGACGACGGACGCCTCTGAAGGTCTCTGGAGGTCTCTGGAAGCCGAAGGAGGATTCCAGAGACCTCTGGAGGCGTCTGCAGGCCCTTCGAGGCCCTCGACGACGAGAACGAGGACGACGCCAGGGACGAGATGAGAACGGGGACGAGGACGACGATGACGACGAGGAGGAGGAAGAAGAAAAGGACGAGGCCGACGACAAGGACGACGACGAGGACGACGAAAACGACGAGGAGGAGGACGGACGCCTCTGAAGGTCTCCAGAAGTCTCAAGAGGCCAAAGGAGGTCTCGGGAGACCTCTGGGGGCGTCGCTTGGCCTTTCGAAGCCCACGACGACGACAAGGACGACGAGGACGAGGACGAGGACGAGGACGAGGACGAGGACGAGGACGAGGACGAGGACAAAGACGACAATGACGGGGACGGCGACGAGGACGAGGACGAGGACGCGGACGAGGACGACGACGACGACGACGGACGCCTCTGAAGTCTCTGGAGGCCTAAGGAGGTCTCCAGAGACCTCTGGAGGCGTCTGGAGGCCCTTCGAGACCGTCGGCAGGCGAGGACGACAACGACGAGGGCGACGACCGCCACGAGGACGAGGACGAGGACGAGGACGAGGACGACGACGACAGGGACGACGACGACGACGACGACGAAGACGACGAAGACGACGAAAACGACGATGACGACGATGACGACGACTAAAGCGACGACAACGACGACGCCGACGCCGCCGCCGACGGCGACGACGACGACGACGGGGACGTGGACCTGGAAGGGGTCGGGGACGGGGACGGGGACAGGGACGGGGACGGGGACGAGGACAGGGACGGAGACGACGACGACGACGACGACGACGACGACGACAACGACGACCGCCTCTGAAAGTCTCGGGAATTCTCCGGAGGCCTAATTCAGGAAGTTTCTGGAGGCCTCTGGAGGCATCTGCGGGCCCCGCGAGGCCCTCGGACACGACGACGAACGTTATCGCATTGACAATGCCAGAGGCGCACAACGGGGGGGGAAGGGGTGAGTTTTACGTTATGGGGTGGGGGGGGGGGTGAGGGGTGGTTCATAACTCGAATTATGGCCCAGAGGCTTTAAAAGCACGCTCCTTCTTCTGCCGCGGCAGCGCCCGCGGCTGCGAGAGGCGGCGCGGGGGTGGTCGCGAGCTGCGCTGCCGCCCGCCCTGACCCCGCCAACCCCTGCATGGCCGCCTGTGCCGCGCTCTGCTCCGCGAGGCTCTTCTTGGAGCAGGCCTCCCCTGTGAAGGACGGGGCATCGAGGAGAAACGTGAGCGTGACCGTGCAAACGAAGGGCGCCGCGGGAGCCGTGACGTATGATGGGCTCATTTTCCACCACCACTCCCATAGGTAGGAGAGGGAGGAGGAGGAGGAGGAGGAGGAGGAGGAGGAGGAGGAGGAGGAGGAGGAGGAGGAGGAGGAGGAGGAGGAGGAGGAGGAGGAGGAGGAGGAGGAGGGGGTGGGGGAAGGGGAGGAGGAGGACATCCTCATCCTCCCGTCTCCCCCGTCTACATATGGTAGTGGTGGTGGAAAACTTGCCCATCGATGTACTCAACGTCGCCGCTCGCCAAGGGCCGCCGCAGCGTACGCGACGCGAAGACGTTGAGCTGGCTCTTGCAGTCCGCCCTGCCCACGGCTGCTGGGGCGCCCGCCGTGGGCTGCGCCTGCTCCGCGGCGAGCGGGCAGCTCAGCTCCAGCGCCGCCTCCTGGGGGCCCCGAAGCCTAGACCCAGGCAAGTTTACTTGCATGCACGGGGGGGGGGCCTGAGCCTGAACCCGAAAAAAAGCCGCAAACGACCTGCATTGTGCGGACAGCACGCGGGTCGAAAGGCGCTGGCGCGCCAGTGTTCGTCTAAAGAGGGGCGAGGCGGGGAGTGGGGGGGGGAGGAGCGCCATGCAGGTAAGCTTGCCCAACCCCTAGAGGAGGGCCCGAGGCCCCTGCAGGTCCCATATAGCAGTTATGCGGACTCGGGTGATGGACCACGAGAGGAGGAGGAGGAGGCGGAGGAGGAGGAGGAGGAGGAGGAGGAGGAGGAGGCCTGGGCGCCACGGCCGAGGTCATCCGAGGTCCGCCCGCGCGCAACCGCGAGCCAGAAAACGTGCGGGTCGGCAGCGCTGCCCGCCAGTGGCACGCGTGGGGACCGGTGTTCGTCCCGAGCTGTTGTGCACGGTACCGGGGCCTGGCGGGGGGGCCCCAGACGCTGGAGATTGCCAAAAATAACAAGGTGGTCTGGAGAATGAGGGGGGGGCCCCAATCCTGAGGTGCTCGTTCTGGGGACCTTCCTGGAGACACTCGCGCCGCTCATGCGTCAATCCTGCGTCGAACGTCCCTTGCATTGAGTCGAACCTGGGTCGTCTTCGAGCCGAACTTGAGTCAACCTGGTGCCGAGCTGGAGTCGAACTAGAGTCGTACTCTAGTCGAACAGATCCGCCAGGTGGGCCCCAGGAGGGTCCCGGAAACGAACATCTAACTCCTCTCCCCTCCCCGCTCCCCTCCCCCACCCCAGACGTCATAATTTTGCACAACATCGACTCCCAAAAGTCTCGACCCATTTTCCGGGGCCGGGTTCTCATCCCGAATTGCTTTTTGACGGTCCCTGGGCCCTGCGAGGGCCCCCAGAGGCCCCAAATGGCAACACATTGTTTTCTTAGCAAAGCAGCCGAACAGCAGCAAAGGTAAAGAGGCGAACCGAGGAGTAGGAGGTCGGCTCTAAGGAACAGGGCAGAGCACGGCCATGAGCAGCTTAGTTTTTCTTTGTGCTACCAGGGATCGGGGAACTCAAAAAGTGCCCATACCGCTACTCCCCAGATCTCTTCCTGGGTGTGTTCTGACCAGGATTTCGAGGGGAATCCAACGATGGCGACGAGAGCCTCCCAGACGAGCAGAAAAGGGGCAAACGGGGGAAGGATAGCGGTATGGGTACTCTTCCCCCCCTGGGGGATCGAAGCCAACCAGACCAAAAAAAGTAGCCCGCATTGCAGCGAGAACAGAACGCCAAACAGACACTCTGCAAATCTCACGCGCGTCGCCGGGCGGGCGTGGGGTCCCCGCCCCCCCTTGTGGGACTCTTCCTGTGGTCCTTCCTGACCTTCTGGAGAGAACCCTCTCGCGAAGCCCCCATCCCCAGACCCCCTCGAGCCATACAACAAAAATCACGACGAAGGTTTTTCGCCGATTTCGGCCTCTGGGGGTCCTCACCGGGCGTCGGGACTGTCAAAAAACGACTCGGGATGAAAAACCAGTCCTGGGAAATGGGTCGAAACCTCGGAGGGTCGACGTTGCAAACAAATCATGACGTCGGGGGTCTGGCTCAGGGCACAAAACGCCCTTCGCGACCTCTTCACGACGCCGAGGGGGTCTCCCCTTGAAGCCGCCCTCCTGCGAAAGAGAGGCGCTGGAAGGCGCAGGTCCGCCCGCGGGCGAGGCAACCGCCGCGGGCGGCGGCCCGCGCACCGGCGGAGGAGGCCGCTGCTTGGGGCCGAGCTGCGCCCAGAAGCGAGCCGCCCCCGGAGGGTCCTCGCGCTGGGAGGCGGCCGTGGCGGCGACGCCGTCGCTGCCGGCGCGGGGCTGGAGCAGGAGCTCGAGCATGCGCTGCGCCGCGGACTGCTCCGCGGCCACCTTCTTCGGGCGCGGGGACCCCGTGCACGGCGGCGGCTGCTCCAGGCCGGCGAGGCCCAGCCCGGGCAGCGTCACGGTGCACTGGAAGGGCGGGGGGACGCTGGAGACGTACGCGACGTCGTGCTTCGTGACTGGCCGGCCCAGGCGGAACTGCAGGTTCGTGTTCAGCAGCCCCTTGTAGTCCTTCTGGAGGGGCGCTGCGGGCTCCACTCTGGCGCTGCGGCCATCGACGAGCTCGCCAGCACCTTCGCGTGGGCCCGCATTGGCCACCGAGGTGGCACAGTGCGGAGGAGGCGACTGAGGGCGCTGAGGGGGCGGCGGCTGCACAAGCTGGCAGGCGCTGAGGGGTCCCGGCGACACGGGTGGAGACGCGCCCGTCAACGGCGGCGGCTGCTCCAGCTGCTCCTCCTGGGGCCCCCGCTTGGCTGTGGCGGCGGCGCCGCCGTCGCTGCTGGCCGGGGGCTGGAGCATGAGCTCGAGCATGCGCTGCGCTGCGGACTGCTCCGCGGCCACCTTCTTCGGGTGTGGGGACCCCGTGCACGGCGGCGGCTGCTCGAGCCCAGCAAGGCCCAGCCCCGGGAGCGTCAAGGTGCACTGGAAGGGCGGCAGGAAGTTGGAGACGTACGCGACGTCGTGCTTCGTGACTGGCCGGCCCAGGCGCAGCTGCATGTTCGTGGCCAGCAGCCCCTTGTAGTCCTTTGGGCGCGGCGCGGCGGGAGGGCCAGGCGCGCCACCTTCTTCTGCGGCGGTAGCGGCCGCCTCTGCGCGAGGCGGCGCGGGGGGAGCCGACAGCCGAGCTGGGGCCAGCCACGGCCCCGCCAACACGGCCGCCTGCGCCGCGCTCTGCTCCGCGAGGCACTTCTCGGGGCACGCCTCTCCGGTGAAGGGCGGGGCCTCGGGGAAGAACCGCAGCGTGACCGTGCACACGAAGGGCGCCGCGGGAGCGGTGACGTACTCGATCTCGTCGCTCGTGGGCGGGCGCCCCAGCAGACGCGCCGCGAGCTCGCTGAGCTGTCCCTTGTGGTTCACGCCCCCGCCGCCAGCCCCGCCCGCGACTGCCGGAGCGCCTGCCGTGGGCTGCAGCAGCTCCGCGGCGGGCGGGCAGCTCGGCTCCGGCGGTTCGGCCGCCGCCTCCTCGGCCAGGAGCTCGTCGGCGATCGGTGCGAACGGGGCGTCCGGCAACAGAGCCATTGGCTTGAGTCAGAATGCCAAGGAATGGGATCGCTGTCGGGCCGCGCATCGCTTCATATACCCACATTTCGCCTATCCTTCCCCTCCAATGAGAATCCCCTCCCGTCCCTTCCCATCCCCCCGTCCCCACACCCCTGTCCTTTCCCCACTTTGCCCCCATCTCGTCTCCAGCTCCTGTCCCATCCCTCCTTCTCCATCTCCCTTCCTCACATATCCCCCCGCCATTCAAGATTACACTGCACTGCTGCTGCTACTGCTGCTGCTGCTGCTACTGCTACTGCTACTGCTGCTGCTGCTGCTGCTGCTGCTGCTACTGCTACTACTACTACTACTACTACTACTACTACTACTACTACTACTACTACTACTACTACTACTACTACTACTACTACTACTACGACTACGACTACGACTACTACTACTACTACGACTACGACTACGACTACGCTACTACTACTACTACTCTACTGCTACTACTACTACTGCTACTGCTACTACGGACTACGACGTACGAAATACGACTACGGGGGGGTTGTGGGGGGGGGGGGGGGGGGGGGGGGGGGGGGGGGGGGGGGGGGGGGGGGGGGGGGGGGGGGGGGGGGGGGGGGGGGGGGGGGGGGGGGGGGGGGGGGGGGGCGGGGGGGGGGGGGGGGGGGGGGGGGGGGGGGGGGGGCGGGGGCGGGGGGGGGGGGGGAGGGGTTTTGTTTTTTGTGGGGGGGGGGGGGGGGGGGGAGGGGGGGGGGGGGGTATTAACGACTACGACTTTACGACTAAGACTACGACTACGACCTCGAGAATATACTACTACTACTTACTACGACTACTACACTACTACTACGGGACTACTACTACTTACGACTACTTACTATACTACTACGACTACCTAACCAAATACTACTACTAATACTACTACTAATACTATACTATACTACTACTACTACGACTACTATTACTACTACTACTACTACTACTACTACTACTACTACTACTACTACTACTACTACTACTACTACGATACTACTACTACTACTACTACTACTACTACTACTACTACTACTACTACTACTACAACTACTACTACGACTACAACTAAAATTAGCCAGACGAAGGACCCAACCATATGCAGGTGTGAGTACCGCAATTGTGATTCCCGTTTTCGGTGGTGATCCCTATGGGGCAACGAACCGTGCTAGTGGCGTGCCGAAATGAATGGCGCGGTGCACAACGCGAACGAAAACGATTGATCTGAGCACGTAGGGAGACTGAGCGCGGGCGAATCTGAGCGCGAGCGCGTCTGACTGTGAATGAATCTGCGTGCGAGCGAATCTACGTGCATGAATGCGAGCATGCCCATGCACGGTGCAAGTGTATATGAATGCTACTAGTTTGTGAACGACTGCCTCTGAGTACTCGCGACGCCGGGCGTGGCCGCCGCAAGGAGCTCCCCCGGGACTCCCCGACGGCATCGCCCGCGCGCCGCGACGCCACCGCGAGGATCGCGCCCGCTCCCTCCCCTTCTTTTACTCCCTCTGTGCCCGCGCACTCAAAAGTCCAACGCTGCGGGCGCAGCGCAGCGCGGAGTCCCAGCGACGCGCGCAGGTCGCCCCTTCGGTGGAGCTCCCTATGGGGCCACGAAACGTGCGAAGGGTGTGCCGAGACCTTCGGCGGCGCTCCCTGCGGGGCCACGAAACGTGCGAGGGGTGTGCCGAAATGGATGTGCGGGACGCATGCGGGCACACCCACTCGGACCTTCGGTGGAGCTCCGTATGGGGCCACGAAACGTGTGAGGGGTGTGCCGAACTGGGTGTGCGGGACGCATGCGGGCACACCCACTGGGACCTTCGGTGGAGCTCCGTATGGGGTCACGAAACGTGAGAGGGGTGTGCCGAAATCGGTGTGCGGGACGCATGCGGGCACACCCACTGGGACCTTCGGTGGAGCTCCCTATGGGGCCACGACCATGTGAGGGATGTGCCGACATGGGTGTGCGGGACGCATGCGGGCACACCCACTGAGACCTTCGGTGGAGCTCCCTATGGGGCCACGAAACGTGTGAGGGGTGTGCCGAAATGGGTGTGCGGGACGCATGCGGGCACACCCACTGGACCTTCGGTGGGGCTACCTATGGGGCCACGAAACGTGTGAGGAGTGTGCCGAAATGAGTGTGCGGGACGCATGCGGGCACACACACTGGGACCTTCGGTGGAGCTCCCTATGGGGCCACGAAACGTGTGAGGGGTGTGCCGAAATGGGTGTGCGGGACGCATGCGGGCACACACACTGGGACCTTCTGTGGTGCTCCGTATGGGGTCACGAACGTGTGAGGGGTGTACCGAAATGAGTGTGCGGGACGCATGCGGGCACACACACTGGGACCTTCGGTGGAGCTCCCTATGCGGCCACGAAACACGTGAGGGGTGTGCCGAAATGGGTGTGCGGGACGCATGCGGGCACACGCACTGGGACCTTCGGTGGAGCTCCCTATGGGGTCACGAAACGTGTGAGGGGTGTGCCGAAATCGTGTGCGGGGACGCATGCGCGGCCACCCACTGGGACACTTCGGGGAGCGCCTTGTAAGGCCACGAAACAGTGTGCCGAAATGGGTGGGCGGGACGCATGCGGGCACACCCACTGGGACCTTCGGTGGAGCTCCCTATGGGGCCACGAAGCGTGTGAGGGGTGGGCCGAAATCGGTGTGCGGGACGCATGCGGGCACACCCACTGGGACCTTCGGTGCAGCTCCCCATGGGGCCACGAAACGTGTGAGGGGTGTGCCGAAATGTGTGTGCGGGACGCATGCGGGCACACCCACTGGGACCTTCGGTGGAGCTCCCTGTGGGGCCACGAAACGTGTGAGGGGTGTGCCGAAATCGGTGTGCGGGACGCATGCGGGCACACCCAGTGGGACCTTCGGTGGAGCTCCCTATGGGGCCACGAAACGTGCGAGGGGTGTGCCGAAATGGGTGTGCGGGACGCATGCGGGCACACCCCACGGGGACCTTACGTGGAGCTCCATATGGGGGCCACGAAACGTGGAGGGTGTGCGAGAGGGTGTGCGGGACGCATGCGGGCACACCCACTGGGACCTTGGGAGCGCCCTAATATGGGACCTAGAAACGTGTGAGGGTTTGTGCCAATGTGGTGGGGGCATGCGGGCACATCACCTGGGACCTTCGGTAGGAGCTCCCTATGGGGCACGAACGTGTGAGGGGTGTGCCGAAATGGGTGTGCGGGACGCATGCGGGCACACCCACGGGAACTGTGGTCGGTGGAGCTACTGCACGAGCGAAACCTAGTGAGGGGTGTGCCGACATGGGTGTGCGGGACGCATGCGGGCACACCCAACTGGGACCTTGGTGGGAGTCTTATGGGACCGAAGAGTGTGAGGGGTTGTGCGAAATGGGGGTGCGGACGCATGGCGGGCACACCCCTGGACCTTGGCGGCAGCTCCCTATGGGGCCACGAAACGTGTGAGGGGTGTGCCGAAATGGGTGTGCGGGACGCATGCGGGCACACCCACTGGGACCTTCGGTGGAGCTCCCTATGGGGCCACGAAACGTGTGAGGGGTGTGCCGAAATGGGTGTGCGGGACGCATGCGGGCACACGCACTGGGACCTTCGGTGGAGCTCCCTATGGGGTCACGAAACGTGTGAGGGGTGTGCCGACATGGGTGGTGATAATGATGATGACGACAGATGATGATGACGATGACGATGATGGGGATGATGACGATGATGATTATGAAGATGGGAGGAGGGAGGGGGCAGCGGGAAGGAAGGAAGGAAGGAAGGAACGCGGGGCGACGTCTCTTCAAAACGAGGACCCAACACCACAGGATGGTTGGGAACAAGGTGCGAGCGTCGAGGGGCACACTTTGATTGAGAATTAGCCAGACGAAGGACCCAACCATATGCAGGTGTGAGTACCGCAATTATGATTTCTTTTCTCGGTGGTGATCCCTACGGGGCAACGAACCGTGCTAGTGCTGTGCCAAAATGAACGGGATGGTACACAACGCGAACGAAAACGATTGATCTGAGTACGCAGGGAGACTGAGCGCGGGTGAATCTGAGCGCGAGCGCGTCTGACTGTGAATGAATCTGCGTTCGAGCGAGTCTACGTGCATGAATGCAAGTACGCCAATGCATGGTGCAATTGTATATGAATGTTAATAGTTTGTGAATGACTGCCTCTGAGTACTCGTGACGCTGGGCGTGGCCGCCGCAAGGAGCTTCCCCGGAACTCCCCGACGGCATCGCCCACGACCCGCGACGCCACCGCGAGGATCGCGCCCGCTTCCTCCCCTTCTTTAACTCCCTCTTTGCCCGAGCACTCAAAGTCCAAAGCTGCGGGCGCAGCGCAGCGCGGAGTCCCAGCGACGCGCGCAGGTCGCCCCAGAGGGGTCCCAGCGACGAGCGCGGGTCGTCCGCTGCGCGCAGCAAAGAGAGCTAGCTGGCTGGCTGGTAGCGGGCAAGGCTCTTGCCGCTGGGCAGAGCGACGACGGGCGCGGGAGGCGCGGAACCCCGACGGCCTCCGACGGAGGTGTACTGGGTGGTGGAGACGCGTGCGGACTGTGCCACGGGGACCTTCGGTGGAGCTCCCTATGGGGCCACGAAACGTGTGAGGGGTGTGCCGAAATTTGTGTGCGGGACGCATGCGGGCACACCCACTGGGACCTTCGGTGGAGCTCCCTATGGGGCCACGAAACGTGTGAGGGGTGGGCCGAAATGGGTGTGCGGGACGCATGCGGGCACACCCACTGGGACCTTCGGTGGAGCTCCCTATGGGGCCACGAAACGTGTGAGGGGTGTGCCGAAATGGGTGTGCGGGACGCATGCGGGCACACCCACTGGACCTTGTTGGAGCTTTCCCATGGGGCCACGAAACGTAAGGACAGTTTTTATTTATTGTTAACTTTTTTGTTTGTGAGGGGGGTGTGCCGAAATGGGTTGTGCGGAGGCCATGCGGGACACCACATGGGACTTCCCTCGGTGGGCTCCCTATGGGG